AAAGATGTGTGTAAAACATCTTTTAAGACGCATCTTGGCCACTATGAATTTCTGGTTATGCTCTTTGGCTTAACTAATGCTCCTCTCAATTGTCAAGGTCCCATGAGTCATACCTTTGACCTTTCAACAATTCTTGAGGAAGTTTGTCTTGATATTTTTTATAACATTCTCATTTATAGCCAGAGTATGTCAGTCCACGTATGCCATCTCAGAGAAGTGTTGGGGGTCCTACAAAAGCACTCCTTAGTGGCCAGGCAAAGCAAATGTATCTTTGTTGTCCCTAAGGTGGAATACATGGGCCATTTCCTTTCTGGTAAACGAGTAGATCCAAGGATGGTCCAAACTGTGACAAGTTGGCAGATTCCTGAGAATGAGAAGGAATTAAGGAGCTTCTTGGGCCTAACAGGTTATTACAAAAGATTTATAAAAGGATATGCTTCTATTAGCAGGTCCATGACTAATCTACTCAGAAAAAGATAATTTCAATAGTCAATTCCAACTACTATCACTTTTAGTCAACTCAAGCAGGATCTAGTTTCTACCCATGTACGGCCGGTACAGGCGATTCCAGATTTCTCCCAAACATTTGTGGTGGAAACAAATGCCTCTCAACAAGGCATTGGGGCAATACTTAGGCAGAACACTCACCTTATTGCATATATGGTATGGGGCCTGAGCAGCAGCCTCTAAAGTGTTAATATATAAAAAGGAACCTCTACTTGTGGTACACTCAGTTCAAAAGTGGGAACAATACCTAGTGGCCAAACCTTTCATCATAAAGACATATCAAAAGAGCCTGAAGTGGTAGTTGGAACATAAGGTTTCTACCCCATTCCAACAATTTCAGCTTTATAAACTCATGGGGTTTTCTAATGAGATTCAATACAAAAAGGGACATGGCAATAAGGCAGCATATGCATTGCCTGAAGTCTCAGATGCACAACTTATGCAGACAGTGTTGTCCACAATTGAGTATGACCTAATGGCACAGATCATAGATTCTTGGCAGTTAGATAAACACAAGTAGACTGTTATCCAACAGTTGCAGGGTGGAGCAAACATTCCTCATTATTAGTAGGCTCACCAACAATTGAGAAGAAAAGGGAAACTGGTGGCGGGTTCAGTCCCGCAGCTTAGGCAAAAAATTCTACACCGGGCACATGCTTCATCTAGTAGGGTCAGTCAGACATATGCTGATATGCTACTCTAAATAGGGTCAAAGCTTTGTTCTTCTGGAGAGCAATGAACAAAGAAGTGACACTTTATCACAGAATGCAAAACCTGTCAAGCTTGCAAACATTGAATAACAGCAACCCCAAGTCTATTACAACCCTTGCCTATTCCTCAAAATGTATGGGTAGATATGTCCATGGATTTCGTTGAAGGTTTACCTATGTCTCAAAGTAAAAGGTGATTTTTGTGGTAATAGACAGATTAAGTAAGCATGCCCATTTCTTGAGCATTGTCCATCTGTACACTGTATTGGAGGTAGCTCAATCTTATATTGACAATGGATATAAACTCATGGCATACCCCAAACCATTGTTGATGATAGAGATTCTGTATTTTTAAGCACTTTTTGGCAAGGGTTATTCTTGATACATGGGGTGGATTTGCTACTCTCCTTCTCCTATCAAGGGGAAAAACATGTGCAAATAGAAGTTGTAAATAGGTGCCCTAGCGGAGTGGTGTTATAACCCCACATATCACTATGCCACCCACTTGACCCCTTATGAGGTTGTGTATAATCAACCACCACGTATACATCTTCCTTATCTTCAAGGGGAGTCTAAAGTGGACTTGTTGTGGATAGATGACAACAAGGGAGAGAAGAGATGATTAGAGAGTTGAAGTTCAACCTGCATAGAGTTCATAACAGAATGAAACAAGTCAAGCAACTTGTTGACTGTCACATAACTGAAAGAGTATTCCATGTGAGAGATTCGGTATGACATAAATTCTAACTCTACAAACAAGCCACAATTATAACAAGAGCAATGAGAAATTGAGTGCTAAGTACTCTAGAGCTTTACAAATTCAGGTTGTGATTGGCAAGGTGACCTACAAACTACAGCTACGAACTACTGCTAAGATCCACAACGTCTTCCGTGTTTCTCTTTTGAAAGCTTTCGTATGGCCAATAGAAACACAACCCCACATTCCACCTTGGTTGCAAGCTCTCAATGTGGATTCTATGCTTAAACCCCTGGTAGTGCTTGCTAAACAAACAACAAGAAAGAACCTGTCAGCTTAAACTCAATTCTTGATCCAATGGACCGACCAATCTCCACAGGACGCCGTGTGAAAACATGCTGAAGATGTGCAAGCTATGTTCCTAGATTTCAGTCTTGAGTACAAGGTTGTCAGTTAGGGGATAGTATGTTACAATATTTGTAACATTTTACTTCTTTTGGGTCTCATTTGTAATCGGCTTGTGATTAGTTTGTTGGTTGAAGTTTGTTATAACTAATCTAGCTAGTTGTAACATGTGAGAAGATACATAACTATAATCCTCTGTAGTCGAAGGCATAATGAGAAACCCATCTTCCTCTTCAATCTTCACCCTTCTTGTATCTTCCTTCTCTATATTCTAAATCCCTAATATAGTCTATTCAAAGCTCCCAAATACTCCATTGGAGCAACTTCCTATCTGATATATCGCCTTGATTCAGAGCGCCATAGCAGAAGAATACAGATTGGAAATTATTAAACTATGATCTAAATTCCTCGAGCGAACGTTGTCTGCCGATCATTGGCGACATGAGAGGTTTAAGACAACGGAGATTCATTGTTGAAATGAAAAACGGAGAAGAAGCTGAACGGAATTCGTACCTGTTTGAGCTCCGATCGGGCAATGAATGGATTCCGACTGCGGGGAAGAGCAAGAGACGTTTAGAGCGCTCCCGACTGTTGCGTAGGGTTTTTGATTTGATTGTTTTTTGTTTTGGCGCGCATGGTTTGATCTGTTTGCCGCGCTCTTGCGAATTACTGTACTCCCCCGGACCTAGATCCCAATAAAGGGTAGAGTAGAGGCTGTCAAAACCGTGTCATCATCAATCATGCTCATTTTCAAACGTCACCTTTCTCTCTCTTATCTTCATTTCATTCGGGCTCCAAAGTCTAGTCCCGTATTTCGTGTCTATTCTTTTTTTAAATTTTTTTTTACATATTACTTTTTATAAAACTTTATAATTTTTTAAATTAAACTAATATAGAATTTGAAAGTAAAATCTATAATTAAAAAATAGAAACTAAAATCATATCTTGAAAAATTCAAAACTAGAAAATTAAAAAAAATTACAATAAAAAAATTGAAGAGGAAGTTCAGATTTAAAAAAAGAAGAGGGGGTTTGTGATGTAAGAAGAAGAAGAAGAAGAAAGAGCCCATGGAAGTTGCGATGCGAGAAGAAGAGTGAGAGGAGAAAGAAAAGGGTAAAAAAAGAAAAAAAGCTAGTGAAGCTCAGCGTACAGACTACAGACGTTGGCCATGTCGAGTTCCGATAGGGGGTGGTGTTCCCGTCAGGATTGAGTGTCACGTCTGTTATACCGATTGTACACCCCGCACTCTAAAGCCAAGTTCAATGAACAGTCTAAAGCCAAGATCAATGTGGACATGAATATGAATGTAACTAAAATTTTATAAAGCACCACTCCAAGAAGGCTTTAAAACGTTAACTAAGAAAATAAAAAACATATACAAAGTATATGCTTACATATGTACTTCAATACAGAGTATTGCTTACGAGTATATTTTAACGCTATATAGATGTCTAAAACTATATTTTTACGAGTATATTTTAACGCTATATAGATGTATTTTTACGAGTATATTTTAACGCTATATAGATGTATTGAACGTTATATTTTAAAACTAACAAAAGTTAGACGTGCCAAAAAAAAGAGAAGTCAAAAATTATTGTTAAAACTAACAAAACATTATAGATGTCTAAATCCTTATATTCCTCCATCACTCCAAATATCGTTTAGTTAAACGCATATCATTCGTATATTAGTATCTGCTTTGTATAACATGTGAAATACATCTTATCAAAGTATTTTATGAATAGAGTAAATTCTATAAATGGTCCCCATGGTATTTTATATTTATTTCTTGGTTATAAGATATTACATAAAACTTTAAAATTGTTCCTGATGCGAAATAATACGTGGCTCGGCCCACATTTCCCAATTATTTACAAAGAACAGTCAAACCGGACCTGTTTAATAAAATGGAGGAATAAGAGAATATTCCCCGAGTATGCTTCTCCTCCTTCCCTATAAAACGAGGGCTCCCCCTCAATGTTAGGGGGCCTCTCTCAATACACTCCTTCCCTGCCCACAATACTCCCTCCTTAGATTTTTATAGTTTCTGTTCTTCAATATGCTTTTAAGCTTCCATTAATGGCTTACGAGCCTGATTCTTGTACCATGTACACACTCCCAATATCAATAAAATTCTCCCTTTGGCAAGGTACCGCCAAAAAAGGCCCGTGGTTTTCTCCTGATTTGGGTTTCCACGTAAAAATTCTTGTGTTTATAATTTGGTGTATTTTTTAGACTAGTTTATCATTTTAGCCGGGCTAAAACGATATACCGGTTGATAATTTACACCATCATTTTAGCGCCACCCGTGGGACATGAACAAAAAAAATGCTCTCAGAGAAGAGTGACCCAAATTTCAGCCACAAAAAAAGAAGAGTGAGAGAAGGGAGGGTTTTTTATTTTTTGATTTGACAAAAAAGGAGAAAGAAAGCAGAACCCCAAATTAAAGCCGCCCCTAAATCGAGCTCAGATCCGCCGCCTCCGCCGTCGCTGCTCAAATATGCCGCTGCCGCCGCTGCTTTGATCCGCCGCCTCCGCCGCTGCTCAGAGCCGCCTCCTCCGCCATCGCTGCTCAAATCTGCCGCCGCCGCTGCTTTAACCAGCCGCCGCCGCCGCTCTAATCCGCCGCCTCTGCCGCTGCTCAGAGCCGCCGCCTCCGCCGCCGCTGCTCAAATCTGCCGCCGATGCTCAGACCTGCCGACACCGCTGCAAAGATTTGTCGTCATCTATGCCACTGCCGACACTTGTGCGCCTCCATCACCACATGGCTGTTTTTTGGTCCCGCTGCGGCCAAAGCCGTGAGCCACCACGCCGGGAAAAATCAAACCCCGATAGAAGCCAATCATCGCCGCCGACGAAGTAAATCACCGATGCTGCTACAAAGATCTGTCGTCATCCCCGCCACTCTACCCCTGCCATGAATCCATTATGGAGGTCCACCCCTGTGATGGAAGCAATTCATTGCCGCCACTTCGCTCGAGGCAAACGGGCTATGCTTGTAGAGACTACTATTGACCTCCGCTATCACCGATCTCAATTTTGAAACCCTCGATTGATAGTGCAAAGATTCGCCCATCACTACTGCAACCAAGTTTACTTCCTTCTAGGTGGAGGCGCCGGTTGTTGCTTGGTGGTGTTTATATTTCCGGCTGCCATGATTGCGGTGGGATCCACTACATCGTCGGAGGGCCAAGTTCACCACTAAGTACTGCTGCCATAACCATTGGAATTCGTGGCTGTCATGGAGTCCCTCACCCTCGTAAACCACCAAGAAAGCAGAAGGCAGTATCTGGCCATACCCCACTCAAGATAATGTTTCAAATTTTGGAGTGCAAGAAAAGATGTTGTAGAAATTGTGCAGTTTGGGGCCTTTGGGCCCATCCACAAAAATACGGTGTATTATGCCTATTTTGAAGGGAAAGCCACATTGGAAGGATGGAGCAAAAGAATCAAAGAGATTGGAAAAAATCCACCAAATATACAAATTGGTGGGCCACCATATATGGCATTCACTTTCCAATTAGAGACATATGCACAAAGCCAAAAAGCACAAAGTTGGGAAGATGGTTTCACGTTGATAGTGGAAAATTGGTCCCACAAAGATAGTGGAGTGGGGAGAATTTTTTAGTGGGGGAGATGGCTTCACGTGGGACTCCCTTTGACAGTGGAGAAATGGCCCTGCAAAAAAAATGTTCCTCCATGATTGCAAGAATGGAAAAAATTCCAAGTGGCAAAACTCCACCCCTTGTTCGGCGAGAGGGAATTAAGCAAATTCCCATAGCTACACCCTTCAGCAAATTTTGGAAAGGAAGACTGGGACACAGGCCCGGACCTGGCACGCCGGTTACTATACCGGTCTTGCTCAGTATAAAATAAAAAAATAATAAGCCCGGAAGAGGGTATGCCTGCAAGAGGGCTGGACCTGGAAGAAGGTTCGAACCGTACTTACACGGGCCCATGAGGTTTGACCGGTATCGGGGAATCAGCCAGTGCCGTCAAATTGATTGGGGACTAAAAGATGCCCATTAAAAGAAATAGAAGGGGATCGTCCACCGTGGCGCATCCTATTTTTCCCCCTTCTCAGGGAAGACTTGAACGGGGGGTGAGCTAAAGCCTTCCCGGGATAGTAAATATCAAATGGTCATTAAAAAACTTAATCACCCGGAATAGGGGGCTCTGGAAGAAGGGTGCATTTTGGGCCTTGGAGAGGGCTTGAAACCATCCGACATGGTTAATTCTCCAATGTTGATCTGGCCCGGCCAGCAGCATTATCTTATTGGAAGACTGAGACACAGGTCTGGCCTGGCACGCTGGTTACTACACCGGTTTTGCTCAGTATAATAAAGAAAATATGTCACCCAGTCGAACTGGTACACTGGTCTCACACCAGTCTTACACATATTTTCCAATAAGCCTGAGCCCAGTCGAATTGGGTACACCGATTGCACATCGGTTTCAGCAAAAAAGTGAGCAAAGCTCATATCGGGGACGCCCGATTCATTTAAGCCCTCAGTCTGAGGCACTTTGATCGAAGATGGTCTCCGCGAGACATGAAGATATTTACATCAGTCAGCCGGGCTAACATTGATCTTCAACAAAGCTACTGCATCGGATTCAATTCTTATTAACTAAGGTCGTTGTCATCGGTATACTAATTTCGTCACACATCATTTGCTTGACTCGTATTAACACCGACCTCGACGATATAACTTTTCGAAGCATCGTTGCTTTATCGAACTGACATTGCTCTCGTTACGATAATTATTCGCGCGAATTTCAATCACCTAACACCGAGCTCCTCGGTAAAAATAATACTCCCTCCGTCCTGCTATATTCGTCCACTTTTGATTTTTGGAACTGTTTATCTAAGCACTTTGACTCATCAAATTCTCTTAATGTGTAAGCCTAAATATAGTCATGCGTGATCTTGTTTGATTTGTCTTAACATATAGATTATTAATATATAATTTCTATAATTTTTTAATATACAAATTACAAGATAAAATGGATTAAAGAAGTGTATTGGATGGTGTGCAAAAATAAAAGTGGACAAATATAGTGGGACGGAGGAAGTAATTTTTTGAGCACGGCATAGGCCGGTCAAAAAAAATGTTGTACGAATTATTTTTTGCAGGAAAAACTTCTGATTCAAGAAATTAGAGAATTAATGAAGACTCGGAGGACTAGCAATAATATCTACCGGTCAAGAATTCAAAGTACGAAGACTGAAGATCACACTCGGATGACTTATTTACTTTTTTAAGTTGATGATTCTCACAACTTAAAAAAGTGGAGGACTTCTTGATGCGAAATAATACATTGCTCGGCTCACATTTCCCAATTATTTACAAAGAACAGTCAAACCGGACCTGTTTAATAAAATGGAGGAATAAGAGAATATTCCCCGAATATGCTTCTCCTCTTTCCATATAAAAGGAGGGCTCCCCCTCAATGTTAGGGGGGCTCTCTCAATACACTCCTTTCCTGCCCACAATACTCTCTCCCTAGATTTTTATAGTTTCTGTTCTTCAATATGCTTTTAAGCTTCCATTAATGGCTTCCGAGCCCGATTCTTGTACCATGTACACACCCCCAATATCAATAAAAATCTCCCTTTGGCTAGGTACCGCCAAAAAAGGCCTGTGGTTTCTCCTGATTTGGGTTTCCACGTAAAAATTCCCGTGTTTATATTTTGGTGTATTTTTTAGACTAGTTTATCATTTTAGCTGGGCTAAAACGATAACTGTTCCATACATAAATCATCCTCCATAAACTGTTTAATAACATTGCAATTGGGAGAGGAGAAGGTATATGGTACAACATGATGTACCGTACATCCAGGTAGTACTCATTCTGAAATAGAGTAGTTTCATTCTCGCACAAATATAATTAGCGTGGTACTCATTCTAAAATAATGCAGTATTCATTTTCACACATTGGTTCAATATAATTATAATATTTATCTATAAATAATGTAATGTTCATTCTGAAACAAAATAGTATTTATTCTCAAATAACTTATTGTTGTTCTAATGTAAAAATAAAATTCATATCATAAAATTTTTTTTGATTGTATCTAAAATTGAGTACAACCGAATGCATGAGTATAATTTTCCTATGGGGAGGGACTAGGGAGTATTAAATTTAACTTTAAACCACTCCCATTTTTATTACCATTATCCTCCTATTCAGGTGGTTCAGCACTTCAGCCTACAGCAATGGCGCTCGACCCCTCAGCTTTTGAAACCACAGTCCCTTCCCGCTACATCACCTTCACGCTCCCAAACCCTCTCCTCCACCTCAACCACTTCACCGCCACCCTCCTCCGCATAGCCGTCATCGACTCCCCGTCCGGTGCCACCGCACAGACCACGATCGCCGCCATGCTCGTCCCTCCCTTCCGCGAATCCGACTGGACCTTCTCCACGGAGTCCGGCCACCTCCAGCTCATCCTCGCCTTCCCGCACCTCTCCCGCCTCGTACTCATCGGGAACTGTCCCGATTCCCCACGCGCCACCTCTCATAAGCCCCCGTCGCCTACAGACGATACCTCCGGGATCGAAGATGCCCTGATGCCCCTGATGATCGCCCTGTGTCCCAAAGAGGCATTTCGTAGAACAGGTGGCGGGCTTCCGCGAATCCCTTTCCTGAACTACGAAGACAAAGTGATCCAAATTCGCGTATTGGAAACTTGTTTCGGAAACCGTGTTGGAGAAATCGCAGTGGAGGATGTGGAGCTGGAAGCAGAGAACGGCAGCAGAGAGTTCCGGCGGAGGCTGAGGTTCAAGAGAACGCCGAATTTAATCCAAACTCAGATAAGAATCCACCCCGAATCACTGGATTTTGAAAACCTAGAAGCCATGAAATTCCAAACAGATAATAGGGTTTTGGTTCATCCTTATTTGACCCCAATGGTTGCTGGGCTATCAGTGATTGCCTCGCATTTGGATGGGCTAATACGAACTGGAATCAGGCCAAAAGCATTGTGCTTAGGGGTTGGAGGAGGGGCATTGCTTAGTTTCTTGAACTCCCAGCTGGGTTTCGAAGTAGTAGGTGTTGAAGAGGACGATCGCGTCTTGGAAATGGCTAGAAAATATTTTGGCTTGGAAGAAGATGGTGAATCAATTCGTTTATGCGTAGGAGATGGAATGGATATGATCAGAAAACTATACACTGGGGCTGGAAAAATTCAAAATCATGATCTCTCAAATGCAAAAGATTTTGGTAATGAACTGTATGCCTCTATAAATTTCAAGCTTTTAGTACGGTGCTACCCTATGCCCTATGGACCATCATGCTAGGGGCATCGCCGTCTTTTCACAGACATCCACAAACACATGGTACTCTTCAATGTCTATGGATGTGTGTGAGAAAGTTTAGGTGACCTTAACATTTTGGGGTACCAAATTTCACCTAAGTAGGCTGTCGATCTTGTGAATGTAGGCCTATGATTGTTTTGGCATTTTGGGGTAGCGAATATTCGGGTTCAACGATTTCATTTCTTGATGCTGTCGACAATGCAGGTGTCAAATTTGATGCCATTATGGTTGATCTCGACTCGGCTTGCGCTGGTGCAGGAACGAGTGCGCCTCCACCTGAGTTTGTTCATAAACCTACACTCTCTGCAGCAAAGAGGCTTCTTTCCGAGCACGGGGTTATTATTGTCAATGTCATGCCTCTTTGCGAGCAATTCTACGAAACGCTGATGAGCAAGTTCCGAGATGTTTTCGGGGAGTTGTACGAAATAGACGTCGCGGACGATGAGAATGTTGTCGTGATTGCTACCGCGTCGAAAATTCGGAGAGATTCGGGCGGTTCTGGGAAATCTTTTCTCAGTAAGTTGGATTGTGTGATACAAGGGTCTTACTTGGGTTCTATTAGGGCAGTCTCAAGTGTTGTAAGGTGAGTGATGTGAGTATTGGTGAAACTCTGCAGTTTTGTGAAGATTTTGTTCCTATTTCTCCTCAAGTACGGGTTGTGAAAGCCTATGGTGTATTCAGGTCCCGTTTGCTACATGGAATTCAAACTATGGAATTGGAATTGAGGACTTCAATTCCAATTCTGGTGTTTGGTAGCTTAAATATTATATGGATTTGGAATTGATAGTGCAAAATATAAATTGGAATTGGTGAATTCAATTCTATGGAATTGAATCTCATGGAATTTCAATTCCAATTCAATTCTAATTCCATCAATTCCGTATACCAAACGGACCCTCAATGACATTCTGAACTTCATTTGATGACAAATTTGTGTTTTCCTGGCCAGAGCTTTAACATTAATTAGCTTCATTTTGAAACGATTATCTAATGACAATATATAATTTTAGTGTTTTTAATGTTAATTTACACCTAACTGATTATCTAAAGTGTTAACGCTAATTGAAAATATTATTTCCAAACAAGGCTTTAGTACGGAGTAATTATTACTCTATCCGATGACAGTTTGACTTTAGAATATTATTACTCATTCCATCTATTCTCCTCGCACCTCATCCATTTTTAATGATACATTATTTTCATCTTAAACGTTCCCTACTCTTCTCTAATTATTCTCTTACTCTATTCTTACGAGTACGGAGTATTATTTTTTTCACACATGTAATCTCCTCAATATTTCCTTCTACATCATCATAGTTCTTCTTTTCTCCCCGGTAGAGATGCTCTGAATATTTATTATTCTATATTACTTCCCCTGTGCCAAATTCATTTAACATGTTCGAATAACATGTAAAAGTTTATCTTTTTTTAATGAGTTTATCTATAAGTTGGTACAAAAATAAAGGTAAAATTTACATATTTAAAAATTACATTAAAAATTTTACAAAATAATATAATTGATATTATTACTCTATCTCATGAGTTCGACTTTCATAATTTAACAATACAACGTTTTGATTTTTAATTTTTACTACTCCGTATTACTTGTTATCCCTTCAAATTAAACTTCATCGCAAAGTTTAACCAATGTGTTAAAACGTGAAAATGTGTTATTGAAATTTGTTAAAACAAAAAGAAAAAGACTATGACACACGTATTTTATTACTCCGTATTAATAAGAAATGAGTGTATAGTGAATTCTATTTCCGAAAGAAAAAAGTGACATCCATTTTTGTTGGAACCCATGGCTCACCTTGAATCTTCAAAGTGAGAATCAAACCTAGAAGAACTTCTCCTTGAATCTAGGAGGGTGACTTTTAACCACTAAGGTCATGTTCTCCCGATTTTTTTATCAGATCAGATCAAAAACAAATTTAAATATAATTATGTTCAGATCAGATCAGACTAGATCATATCATAACTTATTCCAATTAGATTAGAACCAATTAGATCAAGTGAAGAGAACATGACCTAAAACTAGTAAAGAAGTTCCAAAATTTTGAGCTTAAGGTAAAAAAATTATAAGTGCAAGAAAATTATAACTATATTATTTTTTAATCATAAAAATATTGAATAAACAAAAATAGATGCACATAGAGAGTATATATTTTGTATTCAAATCTATTTCTTTTTTCCCTTCAGAAGTGTTTCAAAATGAAATCTCAACAATGGTCAAAGTGGCAAACAAGACATTGGGTTTCTTGGAAACTCAGTACAAAACTACTGGGCCAGGTAACCAGTTGGGCTGAACTTTATCAACATCAGCCCAACTCATATTTATTTTTCGGTACATAATTACTACACCCTAAAATCCATTGAGCTCCACATTCGACCGTTCGCTCGCCGTTCTTCCTCCCGTCGCCGTCCAGGTACGCCTCCATCTCCGGCTGCTTTATCAAACAACGACGAGTTCATGTTTCAATTATCGAATTATGAGACTTGATTCTTAAGCGCTTTTGAGTTTTCGATCTACCGTAAAAATTTCATGCCTGAAACATTATTATACTTATGTTCCATGAACCACGTAGTTATGAATGTTTGTATGAAATGTCACCGCCGGCCATTTTCGCGTTTTGTATATGTGTTTTTGTTTACTTTTTTGCTCACTCCATGCTAAAAAAAATTACAGCCAAAAAGACATGTTTCCCTTAGTTTATTTTCTTTATTAGTAAAGAATGTATTATAAACAAATTCTAACAATAACTTTTCAATACTTCTTTTAACTAGCTAAAGTTTTTTGGGATGGTTTTTAGAACATAATAGGAATGCAAAATAATTCTGACATAGTAATGAAATACTCACAAAAACAATTGATACTTTAAATGTAAAAATAGCATGTCATTAAAAACGATGATAAGGTTTTGGAAAATAATATGGAAATATTAGATAAAGCAGATTGATTAGTGAAAGAACATGTGTGCGAAAGGTGAACATGTGCAAATGAAAGAATTTTGATATAGTGGTGTGTAGATGTGTGTGTTGTCGTTATAGTGCAAATTTTTATGCGGGAAAATGTAGAACAACTAAATAAAAATGGCACTTGTTTCTCACTCCATCTGCCCCCATTGTTTTTGGGACATGGGGTAATGGCATGCAAATTAAGAAAAGTGGAATTGCGTATTAGATATTGATGTTTAATAGAAAAAGTAACAAAGAATTTAAGGCAAAAGCGGGTGAAAGTAGTGGGACGTCAGTACTTTCTATGAAGTGTTGGCCAGTAAGTGAACCAATGCATCGAGGGTGTAATGAGGGCAACCACTTTTGTCTTTACAGGGATTAGATGATGTACATTTTGACTCCCACACCCTTACAGAGTTGGGATTATACTTCATTTGTTGTTGTTGTATTAAAAAAGTAGCTCTTATATTGAAATGTAAATTGCACTGAACTCAGGAACAAGATTAGTAAAACCCTAGCAGCAAAGCTTGGATAAAACGTGCTGGATAGGTGGAAATGGGAGCTAAAGCAAGGAAGGCTCAAACAAAGAGTGTCAAGAAGGGTGCAATGAAATTAGCTGCTTCTGCAGCTCCTGGAGATGAGGCTCCCGATTTTTTGGCATGTTACTGCATCATCTCTTTTTCCCCTTTTATGTTTATGCTAATTGATTGGTATTTATGACCAAGTTGATGTTTAAGATATCAGTGGTTATAAGTTATCTTCAAGTTAACAATTAATTAGGGTTGGTGTATTTTTCATGCATGCTATAACAACTTGTCTTGATACTCTATGTCCTTGCCAATGCGTGGGAATGATGGAAAGGCTGAGGTGAATCATGCAATAGAATATTATGAAATTAGAAACTTAGGAATGGGTAAAGTCGATCGAGTTTTACCAACTTGGTTTTGAAAAGTGGGTGTTGCACCCATATTAATAGGATTCTTGCCATTGTGATCCCTAAGTGTCACTCTGGTAGTTATAACATGTAACAGAATGCTAATAGAAAGTGTGTACTTCGAGATTTAGAGTTCACAAACTTACTCCGACTATGTATGTTTTTTTGTTAGCAATGAAAAGAATTTCACCGATTCTCACAGTAGATGCTGCACTGGTTGTACTTGATCATTTTTTCCCTTCTACACATATACATAAAGAAACATGTCTTGTATGCTGCAAGCCTACAAGTATAATGATTTTGTTTCTCTCTGGATAATTAGCCGTTGGAAGGTGGACCAGCAAAGAAGATTCCAGTCGCCCATCTAAAAGAAACTAAAGCAACAGTTTTGTATATTGGAAGAATTCCTCATGGATTTTATGAGGATGAAATGAAGGGTTTGAATTTCTCTTTTTCTACTCGAATATGATGACATGGGTGCATGTTTTGCAACATATGTATGTATAATTGGAATAAGTATGAAGTGGAGATGTAACAATGTTTCTTTTTTCAGGTTTTTTTCAGCAATTTGGAATGATCAAGAGGCTAAGGATTGCTAGGAATAGGAAGGTCAATTCTCCACCTTATCTCTTTATTCCTTAATTTATTGTCAGTTAACTCATGATTACAAAATGTGGGTTTATATCCACAGCTAAGTTCTTAATTCTATTTTGTTGTTTACAATGCTCCTTTATTGGGTGGTTCTGACTTATATAAATCAGAAAACATGATTGCAATATTATTCAAAACAAGTTCTATAGATGAGTTCCCCTGTTTGCCTTAAAAAAGCTGTCTTTGCTATGTTACAATCTTAAGATCATGTCATGTAGAAATATTGGCAAGAGTAATAGCTGCCAAATTATTAAGTATACTGACTACCTGCCCCTTATGGATAGATAAATTTCATCTATCTAATCATTCTAATGTAAATATCACGCATTTTAGTGCTATTGATAGTCTTTTAGTGAAAGTCATCACCAACGGGCTATTATTCATCTCCTTTTGACACCTCATTCAGTGGAAGATGCTTCCAAATTAAACCAAGCAAACCTAGTATATCCCATTCAAGAGTAGGGGATGAGAGGGAAAGACTGTATGATATGGCAAACCTTACATCTGCCCCAAGGAGTAGAATTAGGTTTAAATCTACTAAAGTATACTCCTGTCCCAAAATAAACTATGTAGTTTGACTTAACAGAATTTTAAAAAAATGTTGAAAAGTGAAAAATGTATGGTTAGTTGTTTAAAAGAAAGTGAAATGATGTGAGCCACACATTCCTTTTTCTTAGGAGGAAATAAGGAAAGTGTGAAATCAATTTTGAGACGAATTGAAAAGGAAAGTGCTAAGTATATAATTATGTGTTAAATTAGAGCTATGTTTGAGGAAATGAAATGCGTAATTCCAGTTTTTGCACACTTATTCATGACACAGTAATCCACAAAGTTTTACTCCATGACTAAATCTGCAATTTTCATTTCCAATCTGCACATTTTCAATGCTTATTAATTCCCAAATTCATCTCATGTGCTCTCTTTGTTTTAGGGGGTGAGTTGTTTATTTGCTTAACATATTTGTGATTATTGTGTTATGCAGACTGGGAAATCCAAGCATTATGGTTACATAGAATTCGAGTCCCCCGAGGTTGACTTTATTTTGCTAGATCTTATATTTAAAAACAGTTTTTATCCTTCTCTTTATTCCATGTGCTTTGTTTTGTAATGCAGGTTGCAAAAATTGTGGCAGAAACAATGGATAAATATCTTCTGTTTGAGCATGTGTTGCAAGTGAATCTTATTCCTCCCGAGCATGTTCATCCAAAACTGTAAGGGGATCTACATTATATAGTTAGCATTTGACATCTTATAGAAGTGCTGGTTTTA